GAGCAAATTGTGGTGTTCTAAAGAGGAATTCAGACTATGACCTCTGTCTATTTTTCTATTGATGTACATAAACATATTTTATATATATAAAATAAAATGATTAAGCTAAACTTGAAGTTTCATGCACACAATGACTATCTCACAGTTTGAGACATATAAACACACATCATATGGCTCAAAATTTTGATTAAATATCGTCCACATTTTTCATAGATTCTAACAAGTTGTTGAACTTTACAGGATCAACCCAGGTCAGCCCCGAGAGTCAAAATTGAGAGCAATTTCAAGCAGGCATGCGAGTCAATCCAGGTTGGGGTCAGTTTACAAATTTCTCAACCCCCTTACTGAATCAACACAGCTATCGTGACCATAGCCGTCATAACTACAGCCATCTTTATATTATCAACTTATTCATTTATATGTCTTCATTTCCACTTCATCCTTCATTGAGCATGTGTAAAACTGTGTGAAGCTTATATAATAAATGAAAAACTTTCTATATGTTTGTCAGCACATCGGAAGAATATATAATATTTATAAAAGCTAGCAGTAAGGGAAAAATATGGTATATGTAATACATTTGTAATTAACAAGTTGTCGCTATGGAAATGAAGTCAGGGCCAGATTCGCTGCTTGGGTTAGCTGTTTAGAAACTTGAATTCATTCTCTGATTGCTACTGCAAAGCATAAATATATATACGATATATATTATATACATTCTATCAAATGTTCAAAAAAGCAAGGATTCAAACAAATCGGGAAATGCAAGGTTCAAACGAAGAGGGAAGATGATGCTAAAAATATTGAACAGGAAACAAGAGAAAAGCAGGAGAAATATGCAAAACAAAATATCTGCTATGAAAGGAAAGTGTTGGATAAATATGGAAAATGACAGTTTAGAAGCATGAGTAAAAACAAAACACAACAGAAACAAGTAATCGAACCTTCGCAGGCACCCGAGTTGCCTGCTAAAACGTAGCCCTTGTAACAGGCACACTGAATGGTATCACCCACTGCTCGACACTCATGTTCGCAACCACCGTTATTTTGTAAACATGGATCGCATCCACCCTCTAAATTGCACGGTGTAACGACATCAACAACTATTCCTTGAAAAAAGCAATATTAGATATACTGCTAATTTTATTGCATAATTGTTTTTTTTTTTTCCAAACACACAAACACACATACCTCCTCTGGTTGATCAAGAGGATTGTCTACATTTTCCATTTTGGTTTTTTTAATTCAGTTTTTATAAATGCCAAAATATCAGATCATAAAATCCTCCTTAAAACCAAAGTTAGTCTGTGAATTTGTGTGTTTGCGCCACAGTGTAAAAAAGTCAACATTGACAAACCTTCGCATCCCTTCATATTTGCCTCCTGGACGTATCCACTACGACATGTGCAGAATTTCAGGCCATTTTTATCAACATCGCAGGTCTGCTCGCACCCGCCGTTGTCGAGCAAACATGGATTTTCCTTTAAATTACTAGATGTAACTACTTCTAACATAATTCCTTGAGAGAGATTGTGTCAAAGGTCATCAAATTTACAACATAATCATGGATTAAACAGATTTTTTTCCCCTGTTAATTCTTGAGTATAAATATTAACTTCTATAACCAGTTTTTCATACATTACAGAATCGATGGTCTTTCATCCTTTCAGCTGCATCATCATTTATGTGTAGTTTTACCACATTATTCCTTTCCAACACATGCGTGCATACAACGCTCACATTAGCGCATAATAAATGGATCATTTATTTGTTATTCATATCACACTAGAAATGCGGGGGTCCCAAGAGTCTTGGAAAATCGGGAAGGGCTCCCTCACTCCTAAGAGCAGGTATGAATCTTCCGGAAAATAATCTATCTCCCACAAATTTATGATATTTTCATGTATTACTACACTGTACTCTTAATTGTATTACCATGCACTGCAAAATAAAATTAAAATGTTTTCGGAAAGCTCATTTAAACAATCACCCAGAAGTGGCTCCTTTCAACTTAGGACCCCTGGAAAAACGTTTTTGCTATTATCGATTAAATACTTACTGTAACACTTAAATCCATTGTCCTCCAGTTCAAAGTTTGGTTTGCAAGCACAGCGGTATGAACCCTCTGTGTTAATACACGTCTGAGCACACTCGTCAATTTTACTTGCACATTCATCAATATCTGCATATAATAGAGTAAAGGAAAAAAAAAACCATTAGGCCAAGAATAAACACATTCTCGTAATCTTGAAAGCTCCGATGAGGGCAGTATAATAGAGGCAGTAGAGCTAAAAAATATTTATTAATCAATCAACAATTAATCGATCAGCCTCATGAGGGCAGTATAATAGATGCAGTAGAGCTAAATTGGCGTAACAGATTAAAATAAGATAATAATCCATTAATAAAAATAATGTTTATTTTATAATAGAAACATTGCAGATAAATTACAGTAAATAAAGTAATGTGTCTATATTGGAAATAAGTGGATGCAAAAAATATACAAGCAAATCCTCCATCTCAATACTTCAAACTTATCTGAAACACTCACTTTCATAACAATTAGATAACAATGGCATAAACAAGATTGCCTATGTGATATAAATGTGGTATAAACTTTGTAATTATATATAGGCCCTCTTTTCAATTGACTGATATCATTTGGAAAATAAATGATATTGATTACCTGTACAGGAATGCAAGTCTTCATTGAGTTCATATCCAGTGTTGCAACTGCAGTGAGCTAATCCTTCAAAGTTCAGACAGGTGTGAGCACATCCACCATTGTTGATACGACAGGGGTTCGCAACTAAACGACAAGACAAAAACATCACAGCACTTTTATTTGGATTATTTTATCATTGAACCTACAGTGCACTCTCCAAATTCAAAACCCGTAACTCCCTCCTCCCTAATTACGAGAATTCTTTGAGACCACTTTATAAAAAACCAAAACAATCTTCTATCTTTTAGAACAAAGCTAACATTCTAAGACTGAAACCACAGCCACCCCAAATTTTCAGGTACAAAAGTGATCTCAACTTGAGGACGAATTGTATCTTTACCTTTAACATGTTTCTTTTATTTTCACGTAATATTTTATTTTTATTTATTCATTTTTTTGAGTGGAGATGGGGGTTAGCACTGCTATATCTAGTCATCATTCCCACTTAACCCCACTATATTTACTACAGATATGAAAAGTTGATATAAATGGTATTTTACTAAATAAGTTCTTTTTATAGCAAAGGAAGGAAAGAAACTTGTGAATCTATATTAAGCTATTTAGAGTTTAAGGTCGCATGGCAACAGGTAAAAGTCATTCAGATGACTCAGTCTGAAGTAATTATTATGGCATTGTGTTCGATGAATCAGTTCACCTTTGAACACAAACTGATGGGAAACTTTTAAAAACATGAATATATATAGAACAACACGATGCAAAATAATAATAAAAATACATGTCTCCCTCCAATTAAAGACCACTTTTGAAAAAGATGTTTCCATGGTCTTTAGCAGATTTAGTCTCTAATTTTGATAGAAAAACTAATTCCTTTCTGAGCCACTAGGGGCTCAATGGGCTGGAGCTTATCCCCAGTTTCCGTAGTGTGAAGCGGATGAGAGCTGTACTCCCCCTGGACGGGACACTAGTCCATCGCAGGTTAGTCACCAGCAGATTGCTGGTACCCATTGATACAGCTGGGTAGACTGAAGCAATGTAGCTAAAGTACCTTGCCTAAGGCTTGCCTCAAAACCCTGACCTTACGATTGAAAGTCCATACTTCAACCGCTACGCCAAACTGCTGCCAATTTTGATAGAAGAGATGGGTTAATTTGGGACCACAGAAAAGTGGTCTTTAATTGGAGGTATTCCTCAGTTGGACGGGTCTTATAATTAGAGGGAAACTTGCACAAAATAAATTAACTTTAAAAAAAATTTCATAGTACAAAATAATAATTAATATTCAAAATTCCCATTAAAAAATTCCTCATCTCCTCATGAACATATACCATAATGTTTCAGTTTGTAATCTGCATGATGTCATTTAAATCAGCGTTCTGCAAATTGTGGGCTGCGGCCCACCAGTGGGTCGCTAACAAGTTTCAGTGGGTTACAAATTTGACAAAATCATTTAAGAATCACATATCTCTAGTCTGTCATGATCATTACATCAAAATTAATACATAGAAACACGTTATTTTTGCAAATATATTCAGTGATAAACTTAAGATTTTTAAACAATTAATTGAAATTTAATGACACATATTTACGTTGAAAAAAAAACAACTGAAACCCAGGGTGGGTGAAATACACTGAAGTGAACCATGCGTTGCATAACGTAAACAAAATATAAGCCTAGCTCTTCCCGACTTATGCATTGGTTCATAAGGGGTCAGTGGGTCACAACTCAATTTCCTAATTGGGTCATCAGTCTAAAACTATGCGAAACGCTGATTTAAATGGTATGCTAGTGGAGAGAGGTAATGTAGGCCTATATCTATATCTCATTTTTCACGAGACTTTACAATCAAAATTGTAGGCCTATTAAACATGCACAGAGGCTAATAGGACTCTAGGCCTTACTTTCACATCTCTTGCCGCCAAGTGCAAGACGGTATCCTGAGAAACACTGGCACCTGTACGCGCCAAATTCATGACTAATACACTGATGCTCGCAACCGCCGTTATCAATCAGACAACCATCTTCAGCTACATGCCGCAACAAAAGGTTCGAAACAAAAGAAATGCAGAGTAATGATAACATGCAAACAAAAAAAGATCATTGTCAAAACTGAAAAAAAATTCAATCAATGAGGCCATATTTATACATAATCCCACATGCATTTTATATGCAATATAAATTTATCAATAAAATAAAACACACGTAAAAGTAGAATATTAAAAATACCATTTATATTAGGCCTATAATTTTTTTTTAAATAAATAAGTTTTACTACACAGATAATTGCCAGAGGGACAGAGGTTTATTGTTTTACATTTGTCCTATTATTATTATTATTATTATTATTATTATTATTATTATTATTTTTATCGCCTTGCCTACAATAAACATACATCTAAATGCTTCCTCAAAATCAAAAAGATATTAAGTAAAGCAAGTATATCTACCAATAATGATTAATAATTTATTAATAATAGCAGTTATTTCATCTGCCAATTAAAAATTTAGAATAACAAGAAGTATAACAGTTTTTAATAGTATGGGCTTAGAGGAATCTGTGACTTATTATTTGATATTAAAAAAACTCTTGATGTTTGATTTTTTTTTTTATGCCGAATGGAATTTATAAATGGCATTACCAATATTTCCTCTATGAGATTGTAGAGACTATATATAAACAAAGTGTAACTTCCTAATTGTAGAAGTGGATACAACATCATCATCATTATAGATATTGAGTATCTCGATTAGATAGCCAAAGAGGAAGGATGTCTACTAGAGAATGTGTTTATATTTCACATGATAGTCTGCAATGCTTTTAATGTTTTGGATGAATTTTCCATTGAGAAATGATTGAGCCACCAATTAAAAACTATAGTTCCTAATAAATAATTATTACCATGAATAATCACAAGAAGGAATAAGAATAAGGTACTAGAATTCAGTTGTATTACAACAACTAAAGCAAGCTGTGAACAGAAATGTTATACTGTATATTCTTCAAAAAATGTTATGTTGATTAGCCCCCTCTAGAGGTCAGAAATACACACTGATCATTTCAAAGTCTGTCAGAAGCTTGGTAAATTTATCATTATAATTGACAAATTCTATTTTTTTAATTATTAATATTTGAATTACAAAATATGAAATTCTTAATATATTAAAATAAAAAAACAGTATATTTTATATTAGAAATTTGTGAAGTTGCTGAATATTTTTGTAAAGGCAAGAATTCTTCTATAACTCATAGCAGACTATATTTTTGAAAGGTCTTCATAGAAGGGTGGGCAACAATTTCAATTAGCTAGTTCTGCCAAATGCATCAGGCTAAAAAAAAATATACTAACAAATAAAATTTTATTTTACAAATTAAAAAAGGCATAACATAATTAGATTTCTATTTCTGATAGGCAAACTCATGAATAAAATAAAAATCAAGCTTTTACTTTTTATAAATTTTATTTTTCATGTGAGTAATCACATGCAAATAGCCTGCATTCCATATTTCATGCCAATACCCAGTGTCATGCAGTCTCAAAGATAAACATCCTGAACACTTACGGACACATGTACGGCCATCAGCGTGTAGTTTTTGTCCATCTGGACACTCGCACTGGTAGCCTCCGAACGTGTTTGTACATGTATCAGAGCAACCGCCATTGTTGATCTTGCATTCGTCAATGTCTGAGTAATAGAAAGAAATTCATATTCAACAGTTTTGAAATTTGCTAGATGAGAACTAGATCAGAGGTAGCTCTATATATTCAGGCTTTGTGGGCGTGGCTAAGTTGTCAGACAAAAAAAGGGTGGGGTTATCTGACAGTTTCTTGGGAGGACAGAAAGACACCACTTGATGACTGTTCAGGGGCTACACTCCGTCACATGGCAACATTGAGCCGCTCTCTGGCAAAACTCACAGTCGAAAAAATTAAAAATTTAGTTTCTAGTACTGTATTTTCAAAATTTTGCATGAATTCTTATGTGTTTATCTGATTGAAAATGGTTGAGTATTAGCAAAGTTATGAATATTAAATTTATTAGATATCAGTCATGTAGTTTTGAAAAAACAGCTTCCAAAATTCAATAGTTTATTATTAGGATATCTATTTTTAAAATAAGTCTTTCTCTTTTAGTGACTGAAATTTTGCAGAATGTTCACTATATCTTCATTCAAAACATGCAAAAACCTGAAATTTTCAAAATTCAAATTCTCAAATATTTTGGGTGCTACTAAAACGAAATCAGAAATTGCAACAAATGTAAGGTCTTACTAGAGCCTGTCAAATTTAAGCTGAGATGTTTTAGAAAATATTATTATGATGGCAAAAGAAATATAAACATATTTTTAGGTCTGATGAATTGTGACCAATGGGGGCTTGGCCTGCTGTCCTAACAGGGGGGCTGAAGCCTGCATTTCTGGTGTTATTCCACTGAGTGTGTCAATCAATGTCTCCACGAAATAAATCAATCTTTTGCATGAATGACTGCATGCACTTACCAATGCATGATTTACCATCTGACGATAGCTCCTGACCAGCTGTACATTTGCAATAGAAGCTTCCAATCGTGTTACAACATGACCCCTGACATCCGCCATTGTTAAACAGACATTCATTGGTATCTGAAAATGAAATATAAATAATTACTATACTTACTTTTAATGTGCAGAACAGTTAACTTCTAAAAATAATAGAAATTCTATACGCCCTCATTTTGCAGTCAGTGGAGCGACAGCCACAAGATTTCACTGGCTAAAGCTAGGGGCATATTCCTTAAAGGGATACTCATCAGCATTTTTCATTTTGCTTCAAATCGGATGAAATAGCTTTAAAGGGGCTGAATAGGCAGAAAAGAAATAAAAACACCAAAACACGCCCCTAAAACATCAAAATGCAAAATTATTACCGTGACCCACTGAGCCCTAGAATCGGACTCAGCCCGAAAGGATAGAGGGCCCTAAAATATCTTAACCAGGTGCCCCATATTTTCATTGAGATTACATGGATTGAGTGTACAGGAAGCCGGAAAAATCACAATTACATAGTGTATCTAATGCATGAAAAATATTAAGGAAAATATTAAAAATACATATTTAATTAATATTTTGTTCCGTTAAATCAAATCAATATTTTGGTATTTAAATATTCAAATAATTTTTAAATACAGTTTTATTTTATATAGATGATTAGAGAACCATCAGAACAGTGGTTTAGAAATAGTCTGACATCATGCAAGTAAACAAAACAAGGAACAAATCTTAGCTGACCAATCACCAGCTAAATTGACAGTTGCTATGACGACATTTTGAAGGGAATCAGTTTCGCTGTGCTTGTGAGTGTTGTTGCAGTTGGCTGGAACAGCAGCAGGCAATCACCAAAACCAACATTTGTCTGATGGCATTACAACCATAATTGAGAGAGTCAACAAATTTCCAATGATTCAGCCATGAAAAATATCCCCTACCTAAACCATCAACAAGCCTACATTCCACAAAGGATAAGAACATACAAAATTGATATTGATACGTGCCTACCTACATCCAGATGGTGGTTCCAGGTTTTGACAAACATGGAACTGAATACAACCAATGGAATTGTGGGGGGGGGGGGGGGGGGGGGGGGTGGTTTACGCAAGTAAGCATAATCTGAGGGCCAGGGCCTTCTAGAGTACATGGTTTGGATCAAGTGTGTACACCCTACCCAGACTCTGGAACTGTAGATATTTAAGTAGAAAATTCAGATTATCTCTAACAAATTCAACAACGTCAAAAATGGGAGGTTCAGCATACATTGCATTAGAAGCACTTTGTTTAGAATTATATAAAGTTCTTTTTCATTACCTTAACCTACTTGGTAAGAATTAATTTTTTTTAATATTTTTTTTTTTTTTGGTTGATGAAAACAATAGCATTATTCATTATAGGCAAAATGTGAGTGGATTTATCATAATCTTCTTTCTCTGCCATACATCTGACATGTCTACAGTGTATCCAATTCTCAATAAGCCCATTATATTTGTTTCCAATTCTCGGCCATCCCATGTCAAAACCATGTAACTGCCGTTATATTTCTGTTCAGTTACGTTGGAAACGGGATGGCCAAATGTGACAGGCTATAATTGCCGTGGATGCCAGCGCAGATTTTTAAGCTGTCAAAAAATTGCGACTGCAGTCACGGTGTGGATAAGAAACCTAAGGCCGTAGTTAATCGGGGTAAACGCAACAGAACGTGACCGTACGTAATAGGCCGTAACAAAACTTGGAGGTGGTTTGTAGTGGGATGGGAAGCATGAATAGGAAAAACACCACAGATAAAACAACAAGAAGCAATCGACGAAGACCAAGTGTAAAAAAACTGAGCAAGACCTAACAAAAATTGAATATGGGGGAAAAATGGCAAAAATTCCACGGCGCACTACGTTTCGGGCATAAACGGGACTGCTGTGGCCACTGGGAACATAAGCATTAGCTCAAGTCTAAAAAAATAAGATCCCCTAAAATAGAGCCATTGGAAATGCAATAATATACTGTACATTGACAGTCTCAATTTATCAATTTGAGAATATGTGCTGAATAAACCTTCACAGGTTCAACAAAAATTGAATATGGGGGAAAAATGGCAAAAATCCCACGGCGCACTACGTTTCGGGCATAAACGGGACTGCTGTGGCCACTGGGAACATAAGCATTAGCTCAAGTCTAAAAAAATAAGATCCCCTAAAATAGAGCCATTGGAAATGCAATAATATACTGTACATTGACAGTCTCAATTTATCAATTTGAGAATATGTGCTGAATAAACCTTCACAAAGCCTGGGGGATACTATGGCTAACTAGATTAAAGTGTGGGGTAAACTTTAAAAGAAAATATTTCCTTAGGTAAATATCTGAATATAATAATTGGAAGTGAATTACAATGAAAATTTCATATCATAATCATTAAGGACTCAACGCGGACTATTATGCCTACCGGCCACACTCTTTCGAAAATAGGATAAAGATATGGGGCTTCAAGGTAAATTATATCTTTCAAAAAAAGATAAGTTAATCAAAACTGCAGACAAGATTTCGTAACAGATGTTTTATGTATTAAACATTGTACGACATTGCTAGGGGAATACTTAAAGCCAGGCTCTAGGTGAAATTTTTTTTTTTATATGATGAGTTTTGACGAAAAACTTGAGAACGGTTAATGAGATACAATTTTTTTTTTTTTTTAAGGCGAAGGCGAAACCTTTTTTATACTATGTTAAGCGAACCTACCGACTGCAAATATTGATGATTACAAATAAAAATATATTTTTATTTTTGGTCAATTAGCCACAGAAAAAGTGAAAATTTCAGAAAAAAAATACATGTTTTTTTATATTTTTATTACACCCTCCACTGCCTTGAAATCTCCAAAGATAAGATGTATATTTCTTCCTAATTATATAAATTTGAAGCATTTAACCATCCTATTTTATATTCAACAATAAAATTTTATTTTTATTTTCTCCTCTTTCTGGCAAAACTATTTGCTAATGATCTTTAAAAAAAAAGACGCAAAACAAGGAATAAAAAAAAAGTCTCGCCTCAAAACCAATAAAATTTTGCCCAGGCTCAGTGTTCTTATTTTTTAGCCGATTTTAGGCTCATAATGTTCTTATTTTTTCTTATTTTTACACACTTTTTGAACATTGAAAATTATTATTTTACAGCAGTATATTACTGTACTGTAATAAAGAAGGTATTGTATAGTATTACATCATACCTACTGCACAGGTACAGATAAAATTTGTTGGATTTTCTATTTAAACAAAAATTAGTCTCTCAGTTGACATTTTGCTTCAGCCTCAATTTGTTCTTTATATTATTCTTAAATTTTAAACAATTTTAGCCTCAGTGTTCTTATAATTTAAAATGTGTTCTTATTTTAATTTAAAATGTGTTCTTATTTTTTTTTAAAAAAGTGTACAGACTTCTTAATATTTGAAAACTGGGAAAATAAGTGGAAATAATGTCCATTTCCCCCTCCCCTCCCATTTTTTAAATATTCAAAAATCTGTACATTAAACATTTCTGATTATTGTTTAAACACCCTTTTTGTTTCAAAAATCAGTTTTACAGCATATCGAACATATTTTTCCCCTCCAGAGCCTGGATTTAATAAAAGAACGGTTCATGCAAAGGAGGTATGGACATAATTATTTTTATTCCTCCTTGGTGAATAGATGGAGCAATGGTACTGTATATAAGGTAGACAAGAGACAAGGCATCAAATTAAATGCAAAATCAATCGACCATGTCAATGATTGCAGGGCATTCAACTCATGTTTGGTGAATGTTTATCATAGAAAGTTTTGAATGAATAGAGAATGTAATCAATACTAACTAGGCCTATAGCTTGACAATTTTATAGTGAATGATTCTTTTGCCCCACCCGACATGTTATCCTACTGAATGTTCAGTATGTTCGCAATGAATAGTTGTGAACAAAATCTTGTGAAGTGATTTGGATGGGAATCGAACCCACGACCACCAGATTACTAGCCTGGTGTCTTAACCACTACACCAACTATGTCAGAAAAACGTATGGAAGTGATGGGAAAAAAATCATTTTAGTTGGGAGCTGAGTATTTATGACAGGTCAATGACCTATGCCTGTATTTGATATCATGCGGTGAAATGTAATATATCAATTGCCTAAAGTTCATTAATTGAAGTTGACATAATTCATACCCCAGTCAACAGCATCAAAACTATTGTAAGAACAATATCCTAGGGGGCCTATGGATGGTAGTAGTAGTTGCAATCAAAATATAAACAGAGGCCTACTTTGTTATTATGGCCTGGGTTGAAATTTTACTGGGCATGGAAAAGGGTCTCAAGAGAGGGTAGGCATACACCTGATGGAGTGTTATTACTGCCTAGATTAGCCTAGGGTTGAAAAAAAAATAATCCTATGCGGATAGCTTTCAGCTAAGCCTTGGGATACATATATATACACCTAATTTATTTTAAATGAACCCTTCATTAGTAGAGCAAAACTCATTAATGCTACAAAAGATTGCTAAAGCCCTGTCAAGACTATCACATTTTACTTGACAAAAACATGTGACATGACTAAATATGGTCATGATTACATCACATCATGACCATATATAGGCACATCATGACCATATTTGGGTATACAACTGTTTTTGTCAAAGAAAATTTGATAGTGGGGAATAACTTAGAATGAGAATTACTAAGGAATTAGTCAAAAACTGATTTATAAATAAAACCAATTAAATCAACTTAAAATTATAAATGTATGACTGCAGGTATCATTATTTATTACACACATACAAATTTATGATTATGAAAAATAACTGCTCAGCAAACACAAAAAAATTATAACATTGTGAATGTTACAGTTTAAGGTACATGTCAGAAATTATGTTAACAGAAAGTTATAGCAATGTTGTTTGGATTACGCAGTCAGAAATCTGGTTATACTTATGAAACACAAAACAGCACAGTGCACTAAACATTAAAATTTGCTGTTTATTGGAATATATGTAAAAATATTTGGTAAATTTATAACCTTGAAAGTTATACATTTAGGCATGTGAAGTGAAGATTAATATTTCATATGAACA